TATACATAAAATAATACAAATAATAACTTGTATATTTCTAGGAGACATTACTCGTATTTGTTTTTGAATTGTAAATATCCGCTTAGCTGCTTTTCATTTCACTACAATGTTTCTATCCTGTGTGCTTGGTGTATGAAATGTATTGTGATATAAAATAATGATTATTAAATACCAAAATGCTACATGTCTTCCTTTATTTATACATGTTGTGGACAATAGCTTAAACAGTGTACATCCAAAATGAAAGAAAAGTTAATTTATTCACATCAGCAATCCAAACACTCTTGACACTACGCATACACTCACAGACAGAGGAATCATATTCGTTCTGTCTCCATGACACTTTTTCACTGAGTGAAATTAACCGAAAAATTGTGCCGAATAAAAAAGAGATTCTTGTTAAAGGTGATTATCAACATTAAGTTCATTTAACATGATTTTTAAAAATCAAGTTTTTTGTAATAAAGTCAAAGAACTAGATAACATATTTTGTTGCTATCCGTATTCAATGGGCTTGATTGAACTGACTGGCTGTAAGAATGTTAATAATTTAACTTAATATCGCTTATGTTCTATCAGCATAAACCAGTCGCTATTGCATGGAGCCTGACTTATTTCACCTATCAATAAAAAAGTGTCATTTGTTCAAACTTTCTGCCACAAATCCTGTATTATAATATCGAATATAGTATACGTTATAGTAAAATATTATTATCTACCATATTTTTGGTAGTCTCCTAGCTTCTGATACAAACTTACTTAATTAAACTTTTGATACATTCATAAGTATATTATACTTAACGTGAAAAATTCAGACATACAAAGCACTAGCTTTTTTCACATATTTGAAATGATTTATATTTATTTTACCAACACATCTAATAATAAATAATGCAGACACAATTATCATTAAACTGTTATTACTAAATACAATCACATACATTTTGTGATAGCGTTCATAAAATAATGACACAAAAATCATTTATTTAATAAAATAAATGCACTAAAGAATTTAGCCTATAAACTAAGGTAATATACAATTATAACCATGCTTATTTTACACAAAATCAATTTTGACAAAAAATTTAAACTTTGGCAACATTAAAAAAGTTTCGAATAAAAGAACAATCTGAGTAGGTAAGTGATTTTTTTTTTCAGTAACTTAACAAAATGTAATGCCTAAAATTAGCTCTTTTGACGTACTTCAATGCACCTTTATTAATTTTGACAAAAATAAAAAAATATTTTGTTTATTTATAATTAGGTACATAAATGTCTGGGGTATTTTTCAAAATTGCTTATCTATTTTTACCGTATCGAAATGTCCTAATAAAATTTGAGCATACCACGTATTGACTTGTTTATTAAATTCATGATTTGATTTTAAGCATAATTTACAAACAGCATCTGTATCTTTTCGTAAAAACATATTTTTTGTTATGCGACACTGACATTTTATATATATATTTATTTATATTTAAAAAATCTGTAAATAATAATTTATATCCCATAACATTTTTATGTCAAACACCTACCAAACATATTTTGGCAGCTACACAAATGTCCATTATATAGACAACATTGATCAATTAAAAATAATTTACTAAGAATTTCCTTTTCTTTTTTATCTGTTTAGTCAGATATCTTAACGTTTTACCTAAATCGTAACTTATAAAAATGTCATGCCTTTGCTGTAAAATGTTTACTTCGAAATTTTTGCAACAATTTATTCATTAAAAATGCATTGATGTACACAGTGGGCACGAAAAGCTAACAATTCTCTTTAAGAGTATAGTTCTTGCATCAAATGACAGGGCTTAGATCATTGTATAATCTAAGGACAGATGCTTATTAGCAATTTTATTACGCGACTTAACAGTGATCAGAACTTGAACATTAATACCAATAATACTACAAAATAAAAGAAGAGTTAACAATTTGATCTTTTTAATTGGTTACATTAACTCGCGAATGATTTTAACTTTTGAGTAAGTAAAAGTACTACATTTTACTTACTCAAAAGTTAAAATCATTCGCGCGTTTCCAATTCTGGCCACAATTTAAATCGACACAATCAGAACTTCTTGGTTTTTATGTAATCATAGCTCAGAATTTTTTTAACACTTTAAACTTTATTTGCTATCTTCTTCATTTCAAAGTCTCTACTATTCTTTTACAAAATGAGCTACATTATTGCGTTAGTAATTTGATTTATTTGCTTGCATACCTAGAGTTATTTAAAAACAAAAATTGTATCTACAGGAATACGAAAATTTTTCAATTCTGTATATTCCTTTAATATTTTCTGTTGACTTTGAAAGTTCTGGCTGTATGAAATGCTACAATATACGTTACAATATTATATAAATTGAAAACACTACTGTATAAATGTATGAACCCTAATGTGTAAATTTAATAAATATAACGTCAATTTTGCGATAATTTAAGGCTATAATATGTTGTCTACGCTGTTACTAATATAATATTAATATGTAAACCTAAGTCACTGACATGCTACTCCCAGAATATTCCAGAACGCTGACACGATACCTCGACTATTGCGTAAAGACGCATATAAAAATTGTTACATTGGTTCAATGCGAGTAATGTGGACTTCTTTTACATTTCTTTTGTATTATCTATTTAAATACCTAATATTAAATGTGTACACTACAAAACATTTTTTTAATTTATTTACAACCCAATCATCAAAATTTCATTAAAATATGCGAATTCCCTGTAGAATGTCTTTTTAATATGAGTGAGAGAGCGTATGTAATGATTAATATTACTATCATTTATGTGTTACATTGTTATGGTGTTATACTACACATAAATATTATAAACTAATTATGCTTATGGCTATATTTTTATCTATAATACCAATCAAAGGAAAAATCATCGCAATTTATTTAAGTTAGAAAATTATACAGAGTAAATAAGCTGAATGTAGAAATAATCTTTATGAAAATTCTTCCACCTATAATTTAATTTATAAATCTAAATTGTCAGTTTAGTGCTTAGAAAACGCCCCAAAATTTCTCTTAAACACTTGTTATAATAATTAGAAATGTATCACACTATCAATTAACGGCGAGTGGGCTGGTCAAATTAAGTCGATAAGCATGAAAGGATTAGAAAGTAAAATTTAATTAAACAATTCTGCGTAGATCGGACCAATAGTAGTAATTAAAAAGGTAAGGAATTAAAAATCTGTAGAATTAAACGCGATAAAATCCGTAAAATTAGTTTTCACTAAACAAATTAAGATAAAGTTTGCCCAGTCTCAATTCTCAACAATGCAGAGTACGCTGTGTAGAACGATCAAAGAACTCTACCATCTTAAAAGGAATAACGACTCTACATTGAAGGGAATAATGACTAGTTTCACACTAAAATATGGAAACAGAATATTAAGAAGAAAACTATTTGTTACGGCCTACGGCTGATCCAGCAAGGGTCAAATCCTCTGGGGCCCATGAGCAGAAGACTTCACGAGCAGACGTAGGTCGGGCTTCAATATGGCCACGTGGAATATGTTCTATCACAATAAACTATATGGGAGAAAGCTAGAAACACATAGTACTTACCATTATCCGAAGTTAGCTTCGGATAAACTTCGAATGAACACTATTTTTTGGCAAAAATAATTAGTTTGGGGAGCCTGGGTAGCTCAAGGGTTTAGAATTGTCGAAAACTTTGGTGAAGTACACATAAAATAAAATATAAATATATAAAATCTTCTTCTTCTTCTATATAAATAAAATGATAGAGGTTTGCAGTTGTGCGCGTATCACAGAAAAACAACTGGATAGATTTCAATTAGGTTTTACTAAGTTTTATTTCTTAGACACTTGATCTCTCGCCAAAATAAAATTAATGCGATATTTTCATTTCATATAAAGTTATTCAAATTATAAACAACGATTTTTATACGGGGTTTTTTACACTGTCAACTGTACGTCGTTTGCTCTCGCGTTACTAACTCAGATAATTTATATATTATAGCTATAAACGGAGCAACGAATAACATTGTTTTTAATGTTTTTTCCTTCGCACATACGAAAAGTTTGTCAATATATCAAGCAACGCGGTCGAAGTCGCGGGTAACAGCTAGTCGATCGATAAATTTCAACCGAACATGCACAAAAACTATCTAATAAAGCGTGGTAATAAAATGAAATCTCTTTACTTTTCGACGTACTCGTAAGATTTTTGTGCAACCGTTTCAAAATGATGTTCCTCTGATCAGAGAAGATACGAGTATGGGGAAAAACCTGCATGTGTAAGAAATTAAAAATATAAGTAGCTACCTATTATATTGTGAAGTCTACGAACACGCAATGAAGAAGCGCAGGATTTTCCAATATTCCAAAATCCTCTCAGAAATGAATGTGATATTATGAATGTTTGATATTATAAGGTTTACACGAATACATGAATATATTCCTACTATTTTATTTTAATAAAAATATATTTTAAATTAAGAAAGGTTTTATATTATTCACGTCTGATGGCATTGCGATGATTTATCCAGTGTTTCTTTTTTTTATTTTACGTTACGTTGATATTTGTGCGTACAGGCTGATTGTACAATAAGAAGGTAATTAAGCAAATGGTAATAAAATATTTGCAAATAGCATACAAAAATTAAATTATTAAAATATTTTACAGTATAAAACATAGATTCAGTCCCTACACTATAAAATTATATTGTATATGTTAAAGAAAATATTCTTAAATAATTTACATTAAAATTAATTTTTTCTAAAACAAATAATATATAATTGTCTTGCAACAAAATAATAATTAAAATTAATTATCTACAAAAGGATTCTAAAAATAGAACAATAATAATAACACTTAAAATTCAAATAAGTTTCTCGTCGATATTAATTTGATCTATTTTGCAGTCAAAATATTGATATTGTGGATAGAAGCGACGCTGTAGACAAATAAGGAACAACCATAATCAGGGTTTGCTCACCTTATTGTTGGAACTACCTTCCCGAAAATATGCTGATGGAGTTAGATGATGTTCTTTTACGGACGAGGGTTGCTTCAACTGAAAATGTAGGTTTATTGTTAGCACAAAAGTAATCTTTATATATTATATGTATGTAACCTTTGGAGCGACTGTTAGTGGTTGTGTAACTTCTGAATTACTTGACCGATTGAAGTCGAATTCACACAATATGTTTGATTTGTCGAGACGATGGTTGATAGCTAACTAGGATCAAATAGGTGATGATGTAGTCAGGTATTTACTGATGATTAATGGACCAAAATAACTTAATTTTAACCCAACGTGTGTTGGTGTAAGGCAAAATTTATGTGGTAGAGTCATGCTGCAGCTTTATTAATAGTATAGTGGTAGCACGAATGGGTCGGCTCAACCGGGGAAGGACCACGCTCTCACAGAATATCAGCGTAAAATAGCTTAAATAGCTTAACGCTGTTGTGTTTCGTATGGTGAGTGTAGAGAACCGGAGACCTATTTTACTGGAAAAGAGGCATTCTATCTTAATCCTCACGGCTGATAACGCATCTGCATTTTAATTCGTAAACGAAGATAGATGTAGATGTCTATGGACTACAGCATCCACTTACCAGCAGGTGGACCGTGTTGTTTGTCACCCTTATTCTATAAAAAAAAGCGATTTGGCAGCTCCATCGATGCTGTATCACGCTTTGACGACTTTACTGCGTTCGATTGCTGTATTGAAATCGCATGTTTTGGTGATTGTTTCTAAAGAAAAAGTACAAGTTGAAAGAGGAAAGTCACTCACTGGTGGAGTCCTGTGGCGTGAGCGGACGCTTGATAGTCTGCTGTATGACGGCGAGCCAACCGGCTCGGTCTTCGTGAGTAGTAGCAGCGAGGCAGTAAGTTCGCTCTGGAGTCACCACGTGGAAAGAAAACCGCGCATCCTTACAACCGTTCCCCGTGTTCGATACTTTGATGCAGTAGCCGTTCGATTCGTGACCTAGAAATAATGATTTTAATCGATTAATTCATCATATAGTATAGACTAGTGGCCGTCCAGTGACGGAAATTAGACCATAATTTATAAATTTTTTATGTTTGTATTGTATGAAGCACTTTGTATTTCACTTTCAACTCTTAGTGTATATACATATGTAGTAGGTATCTATGATTTCAACTGCACGTTTTTATTTTAAATAAAATAGATATCTTGTCACGTCGGTACAAAGTTCAGCGAATGCATGTCTGATTTTGTTAGCCCTCTGCTTTCGCACTTTGTACTTACTTTATTAATTTAATTAGTCAAAGTATATTATAATTTTAATTCCCGTAACTTTCGTATTGTAAACTTTGTCTAAAACTATAACTAATATTATTTAATTTGATTTAATATATTCTTCCGGAGTATCGGAGTTCTGTATTCTTCCGGAGTAATATATTGATAATGAATGTAGTCTTGAACTTTTATTTAGCATCCGAATGGTGCACAACCATATAATTGGTGACCACCGGACGAAGTAAAATCATGTTGAGCGATAAGAAAGTGAGCGTTCAATTGTTATCCGGCGAATATTCTAGAAAGATCCAGAGTCGTACAATCGCGAACACAAGTTTTGATAAAGGAAGCGTGTGAATAAAAATGCCGCCATTCTGGCTTCACTCAGACAGAAGGCCAGTTTGTGATTTCGGGTATTACGACTGATGCAACGAATTTGTTTCATATAATCGCGCAGCTTGACCATCAGTTTGCAACGGAATTGAAATATATTAAAACATCTCCGCCAGCTGAAGATTTGTTGTCGCCGAAGTTTCAAAGGCAATTATTGGTGCTGATTTTCTCAAATTTTATCATTTGCTTGTAGATTTGATCTACCGCTTAATCGACGGCCTGACGAATCTCTCTACAGTAACAACATCTGCTGCCCAAGCTAATGACATCGCATGAGTTAAGGCTGTGTCTGGGGACACTATCTACCATTAACTTATCCGTGAATATCCTGATATTACTTGCCCTGTTGGAACTCAACGTGTACTGTACACCATATCCGTACGACACCTGGTCCTCCTGTTACAAGCCGTCCTAGACGCTTACCACCAGATCGGCAAAAAATTGACATGAAGGAGTTCGAAGATATGCTCGCTAATAGTATCGCTCGCAGGTCTAAAAGTGCAAGGTCGTCAACTCTCCATCTCGCACCCAAAAACTGAGAATGGTTGGAGACCGTGTGGCAACTACCACGCTCTTAACGCCCGTACCATTCCAGACAAATACACTATCCGACGTGATTTTTCGGAAACTTCAACCCACGGCTTTTGTTATTGTCCTCAAGTACCCCATCCATTCGCTCTCGAGCAGAAATTGTTAGCAGTCTTCACATCCTGCAAGCCATCTAGCTTTACAAATGTTCATCGAAACACTGAAATTATAATGCTTCCTGTTCCTTCAAGCTACTCTCTGCGCTACAGTGTTGGGCACGGCTCTGTGCCTTGCTGCTCGCCTCTGCTTCACGGCACTCTCGCAGATTACTTTCTTCTTTTTGAATCACCGCAGACTACAAGGCAAATTCCTGGCACTTGGACATTCGTCCACATCTAGACTGCACTATCGACCTCCGTTCTGAGGAAGGGGGGTGAAGTGGTGGCGCTGTCGTTGCGCCACAAGCGAAAATACATCGAAGCCTAAATCGGACTATCAAAGATCTGAAGTAAAAGCAGTATATATAGAATAGCTCCGAACTACCACATAACTGCGCTCCTTTCCCTAAAGGGCGTCGCTTCCGATTCGGCAGAAAGGCCATACAGGCCAAAGCCAGTCCCACAGGTGGTGTTTAGTGGGTAGGCACTTCATAGTGAGTCCCACATAACCACGTAGCCGGCTGCGTGGTATGCTATGAGTATTCACCACCTCCCTCCCCCGCCTCCGGAGGGTAGCCATTGCTATAGGCGCAAAAAAAAATTACCACTAGAAGCGTTGGCCGCTCGCTGGGTAGAACACCTTGCCCGGCGAGAGATCTGTCCTTTTCTTTACCACGGCTACAATCTAATACACTTTTCAGACTATTAAAAAGAAACATTTGGAATCACACAAAATTCACAGCTCATTAAATTTTTTGGCAACATTTTATTTATTTATTAGGATTACCAACAGAAATTACAACAGTAATACAAAGATCATTTTCATAACAAATTCAACACATTATAATTGTATTTCTTTTTATGGGTAATCACAACATGCATTGATTATTTTGTAAGGAATAAAAACTGAATTACATCATTGAATAAATACAAATTATTAAAAAGAAAAAGAATTATTATTTATAATTAAAATTAATTATTAAAATAAAAATAAAAATATTATATTATTAAATATTAATTATTAAAATTAAAATTAATTATTATTATTATTATTTTAAAATTCTTTGGCGACATTCTCTACTCTGTGCGACTGTTTGACCATATGGTCTATGTTTTGACAACTGACATTGGCAGTATGAACGTAAACAATGAATATTTTATTTTATTTTATTAAATGTATTTTTAATACATATTATATATAAATTTTAGCTTTTTGCACTCTTTCACATAAACTTTAACTATGCCAAATCTTACACTTCTCCGTATGCGCAATATGCGTAAAAAGGGATAGAAGTATTTTTCTGTACGTAGTAATATAGAGATAAAATATAAGCCATATACACCGCTGGATATTGATGAACTGCATCTTTATCGCTTACAATTTAGGTAAGGTTTGGAAGCTCAAAGTGTTATTGGAATATAATATTGCGATATTGTATAATTCTAGTTTTGGTATTTTTGTGAATAATCAATTTGTAAATGTTATTCTTCTTCAATCTGTAAATGTCTACAGTGGACACGGGCCTCCGTTGTAGGGAGGATTTGGCTTAAATGTCACGTTTGGCAGATAGATTGGCAAACGCAGTACCAGACGTTTCGCCTTTGACCTTTGCAGCTGTTGCCCGTCGCCAATCTGGTAATTTTACGTATGGCGTCAACAAGATGGTTACAGAGCCATCTAATGAAAACCATAAGATGATTTTCTAGCATTTCGCATTGTCGTCTCTTACGAGTCACGAAAAACATGCGATGGCGATGGATTTTATTTCGCATGAAATTATTTGTATTTAAAAAATAGGCCGTGTGGTAATGGTGTAAAATAATTATTAAAATAATAAATTAATTATTATATTTATTAATTATTATTATTATTATATGTTATTAATTATTATTATTAGTTAAATAATAATAAAATAATCTTTTCTTTATAGGATAAGGGTGACAAACGAGCACACAGTCCACCTGATGGTAAGTGGTTGCTGCAGCCCATAGACATCTACATCTATTCTCGTTTGCGAATCAAAATGCAGATACGTTGTCACCCGTGAGGACTAAGATGGAATGCCTCATTTCCAGTAAAAAGGGCCTCCGGCCACCTGCACTCACCAAGCGAAACGCAGAGGTAAACCTCTACTTCACGCTGGTATTCTGTGAGGTCGTGGTACCACCCCGGTTCGAGCCGGCCCATCCGTGCGACAGCAAAAGCTGCGGCGTGGCTCTACCACTGTTAAAATATAAAATAATAAATAATAAAATATATATATAATATATAAAAAAATAATAAAATAAATAATAATAAATTATTAAAATAAATCCTATGGTTTGTTAGTGTTACAATTTACATGTTAGATGTAAAGAAATTTGACCGGCGACAGCAACGGCAGACAGATAGACAGGTTGTACAGCAGTGAGCAGTCTATAATAATATTATACTGGGTGGCGCTACGTTAAACCACAGAATAAATAATAGTACACGAGGTTAAACACAATAAATGATACCACAAAAGTAACCACAAAAAGGTCATTCAAATTCATTCAAGTAGTTTCAGTAATATTTGCACATGAAAAACATTACTATTCCCGCGTAGAAAGTAATATAGGTACCTACATTACTTTTCACGTGGTGAATATCGACAGGGGTCAAAAAACTGTGCCTTCAAAATAAAAAAGCGACGATACCATTTCGACGTTCTATGCTGACTTCCGTAAGAATAATATCGGTGCGTCACAGCTAAAGATCAAACTAACGCGACGTTACCGCTTTTACCTATTACATTTACGTACGTTTAGATTATCGGACGAACAAGTCGCCGAATAACTCGCAGTTATATGTGGACTAGTGTGACGCGTTTAAATATTCGTCTGTATTCATTTATTCAACGTAGGTTTTTAAACGTCGATGACGTACGTTGCTACGAAATTGTTTCTTCTTAACTTTTATATACTTCCTAATATTTTAAATTAAAACAGATGAAAAGACGGCGGTAGTAGAAGTAGTAAGTATTAAGTAGATGTATAAAATTATATATAAATGTAATTTCGCTCTTGCGAAATTTTTGATTTCAACTGAACCGAGTAAATACTTATATTTTTTTATAAATTTTGTCAAAGAAAGGTATTAAAGAAATTGATGACGATAGATTGGTTGAGAAAACTATAATGAGAGTTCACGGGTCAACCGAACAATGACGCGTATATAAACACTGATACGAATACACACGAACATTCCTTTGACTCGTGTTAAAAGGCCGACATGGAGTGGCCAACAGGAGAAAACTCAGACCGAGTAGCAAGTACACCCGAATAAGCAATGATTTCAAAAGGAAGGATATGCCCATCTGCAAACATCTTATCACCAAACAAAAGTAGCACCATCTGTCATAACACATACGAACTATATGAGTGCCGTGTTGCAATGGTCGACGATGTAACCAGGGTTGAATTTCGAAGTATAATAATTATTCATAGTATGTAGTACTGTAATAAATAAAATAAATAATAAATAAAATACATTTATTTCTCAATAATACTATTTCATTAATTAATGGTGAAACAATACTAGAGAGTAATTTAGTTCCTCATGTTGGGGTGTTTCACTCTTATCTTGGTGCTTAATTTTATACTGTACTATGCCACTATACTAAGCGAAAATACCATAATTTATCTTCAGGTCAACCGACCGTCATTACAACGTTATTGGTCATTCTTTTACTTTTTAATATTTACCCTACTATATCGAGAATTTCTGTATGTATTCGGCAACATCAAATCTTTGGAATTCTTCATGTGGTGTTTTACTATCCCGGTCATTCTAAAGAGACGATATCATATTCATAGCAATAGTTTTAAATTTGCTATGAACATGATATCGTAATGCAATTTTATTACAATTCAAAACAAAAACGCTGCAAAATGAAACGTAATAAATACGCTAGACGCGTGACGCAAAAACCCCCGCGCGTAGGAAAAAACATGAAATCTCAAACGTGGTATAATTATGGAAAAATAGTAAGTATAATTTTATTTTCAATGTACAATATTTTTGAGGGTCTGAATCCAACCCTGGCGTAAACTAAAGTCGTGTTGGCCCTAAACTGTCATATTTTAGGACCAACGCATTTGTGCTATTTAGTTGCACAGATGGCCCGGTCCTTACGCTAGTACTCGTAATAATAAGTCAATGAGAATAAGTCGTTTACATGATCGTACTCGTGCCTATTCGTTCGTGGTCGGCAAGTATTTTAACGTTGCATAAACGTTTCATTCATCATCATCATCATCATTACAGCCCTTCACAAGTCCACTGCTGAACATAGGCCTTCCCCAAAGAATGCCACAAAGCACGGTCCTGAGCCACCTGCATCCATCGACTTCCTGCATATCTTACCAGGTCGTCACTCCATCTAGTGGGGGGACGCCCTACACTTCGCCTGCCGGTACGAGGCTGCCACTCGAGAACCTTTCTTCCCCATCGGTTGTCGGTTCTTCGAGCTATATGGCCGGCCCATTGCCACTTCAGCTTACTAATCCGTTGGGCTATGTCGGTCACTCTGGTTCTACTGCGGATATCCTCATTTCTGAGTTTATCACGCAGAGAAATTCCGAGCATAGCCCTCTCCATAGCCCGCTGAGCGACATTGAGCTTCCTCATCCGGCCAGCAGTGAAGGACCACGTCTCAGTTCCGTATGTCATCACTGGCAACACGCACTGGATGTACAGTCTCGTTTTCAAGTTTTGAGGTATACCTGACGAGAAGATGTGCCGTAATTTCCCGAACGCTGCCCAACCGAGTTGAATCCGTCGATTGACCTCTCGGTCGAAGTTGGACTTACCTAGTCGGACTATTTGTCCCAGGTAAACATACTCGTCAACAACTTCGAGCTTAGTGTTCCCAACAACTACCGGCATAGGTGTGACATGGACATTAAACATGATCTTTGTTTTGTCCATGTTCATCTTAAGACCTATCCGTTGGGAAACACTATTGAGGTCATTGAGCATAGTGCTTAGGTCCTCCAGCGATTCTGCCATAAGGACTATATCGTCGGCAAATCGAAGGTGAGTGATGTACTCGCCATTGATGTTGATACCGTATCCTTTCCAGTCCAGAGGCTTGAAAACATCTTCCAATGCAGCGGTAAAGAGTTTCGGGGATATGACGTCACCCTGTCTTACACCTCTCTGCAATTGGATAGGTTTCGTACTCTGGTTCTGTACTCGATACAGATCATGAGTAGTACAGAACCAGTATCCGAGTAAACGTTCCATTATAGGTAAGAATTTAAAGCGTGTTTAATTTTTTATTACATAATTTAATATTTATTTTGGCTGAAAATTTACCTTTAATTTTGACATAAGAACAAAGTTAAGTACTTCGAAAAACTGGTTTTGACCGAGTTTTCATTTATTGTGTTTAAAGTAATGCCACCTTAAAGAACTATTTAAGTTAACATCGCTGGTACCTAATACAATAACTGGAAAATTTCTCGCCCAGATTTTAAAGGAAACGCATTTAGGCTTCCTGACATCAACTCGCGTAGAATGTTTATTAATTTAATAGAATAGAATAGAATAATTTTATATTGAATATAGATTACAAGTAATTCTAACCATTTTTTTCGAAAAAAAAAACTCTGTCATGGGAAGAACCAGCAAGAAAACAAGCGAGAAAAATTATACAAAAAAAAAACACAGGATATACAAACTACTTATAAAACTTATATAAGAAAGAGCTTGGAAGCGAACACTTCATTTCAAGGGTTTATTATCGACAATGTATTCAATTATATTAAAATAAATAACCCTTTTTATACAGCCTTTGTATTTGTATTATATTACGGGTGTCTTGGCGAAATGATGAGCACTCACCGATAAATATCTCTCCTTTGGGGTAAGCGTCGAGTGGTTCATCGTGGTACATCAGCTTTCTATTATCCAACGTGAACCAGCGTCGACGGTGTGCGTCTGAGGACCTCGGACCTGTTTTCCACAGCCAGCCTTCACGTGCGAAGTCTTTCGGAAGGCGGAGGATGAGGTCTGATTGAGGAGTCGAGGGGAACGCCACTTGGAGTAGATGTAGTTTGGCGCAACGGATCGCCATGTACCTATAAGATTTTATCAACGTAAGTGTCTTCAAGTAATTAAATAAATTTTAGAACGAAGTTCTTTATCGGACGGTACGGATTTGGCGGATGGCGACTAGGCGACAGAAAGTGTAAGATTTTTCCGTCACGACCGCTTCTGACGTAGTGTAGACGGCCTTGGCGGCTTTAAGGAAGCCAGGTGGAATGATATCCATCTCCCTCGCACCTTTTCTTATCTTGCCATGGAAGAAATATTATTTTATTTTATATGACACTTCAATTTAATAGCTGCTAGTAATTAATTTATTTGTATTTGTTATTCAATAATATTTTTTAGAGGATAAGGGGGACAAACGAGCACACAGTCCACCTGATAGTAAGTGGTTGCTGTGGCCCATAGACATCTACATTTATCCTCGATTAAGAATCAAAATGCAGATGCGTTGTCACTCCTGAAGACTAAGATGGAATGCCTCTTTTCCAGTAAAACGGGTCTCCGGTTCTCATACACTCACAGTATGAAACACAGTAGTATTAAGTGGCTATTTATCGCTGGTATTCTGTGAGAGCGTGGTCCTTCCCCGCTCGAGGTGACCTATTGGTGCTACAACCACAATATAGCTTCAGCGTGGCTCTACCACGTTGTTTGTAACCTTTATTCTATTATTTCTAAAAATAAATCCTTTTAGAAATATGAGAGCCGTTTCGTTAGGTATAACTTAACCTTATACTAAAATGATTGACAATAAATTTAGTTTGAATAGCCAACCTAACATGAAAGTAAACTTAAAAATATTAATTACATATGAAATAAAATTTACCAGCAGTTAATGACTTCCGGATCTTCATGATATACGTAGATGTGACGCGTTGAGCCATCCTTCATGAAGGTCAGCTGCATTGAGTTCATGTGCCCTATTTTGGCCGGAGCAAACGCGACGTTCAACTCCGATAGTCTGAGCACGCCTTTAGGTTCTTTGTTCTCCTTCACGTGGTACCTGAGGCGAAAGTAATATAAAAAGTAAGCACACAAAATATATTTAGCAAGTATAACCATTCATTATGCACAAAGAAATGAGTGTGATATCAGTAACACAGATGATATTGACGCTGTTATTGTGCTATATGATTTTACGTTAACATACTGATGATGTGATAGTACATGGCAAAATAATTTGTCTCATAGAATAGTTAATCAGATGATATATCCATATTTGAGTTAGGCGCTACAACGTTACAATGCGATCATGAGTAAAATGGAAATGAATATTTCGTACAGAACCAAATAAAAATTAAGTTAACTTTGACTGGGTCATTGTGACTTGTAGTGGGCTCGTTTTCTTTAAACTAACATTCGGGCAAAATTTTGACAACCGTATTTTCAATTGTTCTCACATTCTTACCTCCAACGACCAAAGTTTTTGAGACGGAGCCGATCGAAAAATCGACCGATACAACCCGTGGCACGGCCACAGTCGTCAGAAGGGTGATGCCACCTAAGGACCAGGCCGGATATGTTTAAGCTAAACTGAATAGCAATTGTTTTATATTATTTTAACCGTAACTTTGATAAAATTTTGTACCCAATTCTTTTCATACAGCGGTACTGAAATTTATATTTTTCTTATTTATGTGCTTTTGTGTCATATATTATAACGAATGATATCTACATATTATACAAACGTTTTTAATTAAAGGTAGGTACACCTATAATCACTATAATATAAAAGTGTATAAATTGTTTATACTTTCAACGCGTTTCCATAAATACATTATTTCAATAACATGTTTTTAAATTTACTTTTTTTTAAATTTTTTATTTAGATATTATAAAATTAAATAAACTATTTAACATATAGAAATGATAAAGAGGTGTTACATCGTGCTTCATCAAATGTATTACTGTTCAATGGAATCAAAATAATTTTACAATATACGGCGCGTCATAATACCACGGGTAAAACGTAAGAATTTCGCCATAATTTGCTAATAGCGTAGCAGGAATGTTTACTAAAAGAATTAAGATAAGCGCGCACTAACGCAGCGACGCGACGCCGACAACGTAGCTCCATTGCCGCAAACAATTCGTTTAATTTGAAATTACGTAGTTGGTCAATATTTGTATGCGTATTTTCCTGACGTAGGAATTCAATAGGAAGGTGTGGAAGTTTTCGTAGATATACGTCACGCTGTTGTTACCTTGCGTAAAAATTATATGTATTTATTTTTATTAATTAGTTATTTGTAGTTTCGAACATAACATTCTCGGATTTTTGGTGAATGTTTTTATAAAAAAGAAATAAATAGTATGTTTAAAAGAATATTTTAATAAATTTATGCGTGTTTAGTGCGTTCGATAAATATTTTCAATTTTTTTAAATCTTATATAATGAGACCAGTAAGATTAGTTTTAGAAAAACGTAATGAATGGATCAAAATGAAATTGAAATTAATGATAATGAGTTTGAAACATGCGGTTTGTTTTTTTTTTTTCACTCGATTTAATGATTACATGCATAATGTGTTTGTCTTTGCATTTAAATATGACTTAAGTAGTCGTTTGTTTTTTCAAAGTGAGCTTTAATAAAAGTAACATTAGTATAGTATTTTATCAAAATGATTTTGTATTTCTCTTGTAAAGTAACACACAAGTACACATGTAACACAAATACACATGTAAACCATGTGTAACATAAAATAAATTAAAAAATAAACAAACTTAGTTGCAGTCACACATAATCCACTATCTTTACACTATTATGTAATAACTGAATCTATAACAAACATTGTATAGGCTATAATAATAATCATTGCAGTGTTATCTTTGTTGTTTAAACTTTCTCTCGATGACATATTTATAGAAGCATCTAAAAATAAAATACGATAAATTTATATTTATAGTCATTACAGCCCATTAAAAGTGCAATGCTGAACATTGGCCTTCCACAGATATTGCCAAATAAGTTCAATATTTGCCATAGTTACCACTCTTGGCAGGCAGGTTGGTCACCGAGGTATTTTATTACGATTATTGTGATGTTACCAGGAAGATGCCGCAGCTCATATACGGTTTCAGTATCCCTCCGTCACGTTTAACGACAACCTCGTGATGATACTGAGTAATGGTTTCTCTTACACAAATAATACATGGCGATAATAATATTACTAATATTTAATGTTATAGTCTCAAAATTTCAGACTACACAAGCAGATAAATATTTTATATATAAAGCTTGTTGTAATGATGAATAAGCTATCGATGCTTACACAAGAAGCACTAAAATTATAGCTCAGTTAAAATTATCTTTCCTCTATGTTATAATTTTACTAACTTGCAAAAGATTGGAACCATGTTTTTTTTATAGAATAAGGGTGACAAACGATCACACAGTCCACCTGATGGTAAGTGGTTGCTGTGGTCCATAGACATCTACATCTATCTTCGTTTACGAATTAAAATGCAAATGCGTTGTCACTCGTGAGGACTAAGATATAATGCCTCTTTTCCAGTTAAAAGGGTCTCCGGTTCTCTACACTCACCATACGAAACACAGTAATATTAAGCTGCTATTTTACGCTGGTATTCTGTGAGAGCGTGGTCCTTCCCCGGTCGAGCCGACCCAGTCGTGCTACAACTATACTCTTAATATAGATGCAGCATGTTTCTACCATGTAGTGGCGGTGTAAGAATATATACAGCCCTATATCGTTCCTTGGGTGTCGTAAGAGGTGACAAAGGTAAACAAACCAGGAGATGGGCAGCAGCCTTTTGGTAATTATTATAGTTATAGTTCTTCTTCTTATTCTTTTTCTCCCTTTTTTTATTTGAAAAAATGTTACCCCCACACTAGGATGTTCTCCTATATCGTGGAGGCAGTTTACAAACGTAAATTGCACAAGGACAAACATCTAGACCCTATAAAATTATTCATAGGTCATACAAATATTTCTTCCGTGCCATTATAATTACAAAATAATTACAACGGCGTTTGCCAACCAGCCTATGACAGTCTCCAATGGTAATAGTCTATAAAAATTCAGGCATTTGCGGAAGAGAAACAAAGTTAATATGCTTAGGAATCTGCGTAAGAACGTTAACTAAAGCGATTAACGGGTAACGTATTTAGATTGGTATCACTCTCTTACGTCATTGGCGCGGAGTAGAAATACACGCAGCTGTTTTAATAATATTAAGGAGTCAGTAAGGCTGCGAGATATTTCATGTTACAGTCCTCAGTGCGAGCTGCATTCAGTAGCTATTAACCATAAGTTAATTAAACGCGAAAAAATCCGTAAAAGTAGTTTTATACAACTTGTATAGTTATAATTTAAAATTAAAAATTTTGTACAGCCGACTTCAATATGAGTTATTAAGAATAACTCAAAAACTATTAATCTGACCTTGATCAAATTCATATGGGACCACACGAGAAGTACCAGCTTTCAAATAAAAAAAGAATCATCCAAATCGGTTCACCCAGTAAAAAGTTATGAGGTAACACACAAAAATAAAACATACAGTCGAATTGAGTACCGTCTCCTTTTTGGAAATGGGCAGAAAAGACGGACTATTAGCACGTTGGTCATTCAAATATGATTTATTAAAACTGGTAGTAAGTGGTCACTATGCCAGTAGGTAATACACTTATATTAGTCGAAGAAATTAAGACGTTGTAGTGTAGTAACCCTTAACTTTGGAATGATTAATTGTCATTAACTGGATTTGCAATTTTCGTTTCTTACGTTACGATATTATGTCATTTTGAGGTATTACGGTTATTCCATATTGAAACTGATCCAATAACTTTACAGATACCGTTTTGGCATATTAATTAAACCTACACTTGGAGTCCTACAGCATACTCAAGAAGAAAAAGGTCACAGATATTTTTATCACCACTGGATTAAGATGACAAGTCAACAATTCTGGCTGATAGTATTCTCCCAACCAGAACATTATAGCAGTTGTACTGCTATTCAACGGAAGAAATATTAGGTGATACCTATTAAAAGGGACTCTAATATAGAACAGTGGCCAATTGCCATCGGGGATTTTATAATTTCATGTAAAATCTGTCACAAAATAATGTTTAAAACCTTTTGCTAAGCGTAGATGTCACATATTATATAGTAAAAAAAAAAGGTTATGCTTGAGAGATTGCGTAGTTATATTGAAAGATAATTTGCGACTTTACTATCAACTACTCTTAGAGCGTTTGATTGAAAAAAAATATAAGTGACAAATGAACTTGCATTCCAACGGATGGTAAGTGGCTACTGCAGCCTTGCCTGCAACTAATTTCAAAGTAATCTAAATATGCTTTGCCACCTCTGAGGGCTGCCTACTAAATAATGATTTGCTTTAAAAATATGAGAAGCATAAAGTAAAATGTGGAGACGTATGTAGAAGTTATTTACAAGGTAGAGCTATGGCTGCAGCGTGATTGGTTCGATAGTTCGCGCGTTCACGTTCTCACAGAACTATATAGACTAACAGCAAATAAATGCTCTCATAGCCAACCAGCGTAAGAGCAAAAAAAGCTCTCACAGATTAGCGCATGAGCAAAAAGCTCTCACAGACTAGCGCATGAGCAAAAAGCTCTCACAGACCAGTGTAAGAGCAACAAAATGCTCTCACAGACTAGCGTAAGAACAAAAAAATGCTCTCACAGACAAGCATATGAGCAAAAATTTCTCTCACAAACTAGTGTAAGAACAAAAAATGCTCCACAGACTAGCGTAACAATAAAAAATGCTTTCACAGATCAGCGTAAGAGCAAAAAATGCTCTCACAGACTAGTGAAGAGCAAAAAAATTCACTCACACACTAGCGTAAGAGCAAAAAATGCTCTCACAGACTAGCATAAGAGCAAAAAAATGCTCTCACAGACTAGCGTAAGAGCAAAAAAGTTCTCTCACAGACTAGCATAAGAGCAAAAAAAATTCACTCACAGACTAGCGTAAGAGCAAAAAAGTTCTCTCACAGACTAGCATAAGAACAAAAAAATTCACTCACAGACTAGCGTAAGAGCAAAAAGTTCTCTCACAGACTAGCATAAGAGCAAAAAAATTCACTCACAGACTAGCGTAAGAGCAAAAAGTGCTGCTGTGTTTCGTATGTAGGTATATAGTACCAGCAGTCATCATACGAAGTGTATGATGACTATTGGTGCTGGCTGAGACATTCCATCTTTGCCCTCAGGGGGTGACAATACATCTGCATTTTGATTCTTAACTGAGGATTGATGTAGTTGTCTATGGAACACGGCCTCCACTTACTATCCTATGGAGTGTGTGATTATTCTATAAAAATGTCTACACATACTTTTGTCTAAAATTTTAAAACATGTTGAGTAATTATTTTATGGTTCCAAGGAAATGAATAAAGATCCCAACAATTTTATGAGAAATATGTGTTCGCTATAAATAGTCTTTATAACTCAAAATAACTTACTTCAACGTGTCCTCGTTTTCGTTTAAAACAAACTTCCTGCGCTGATAGCGGCTGTCTTCTTTCCCTCTCTTCATCAGGAAACCCTCCATGGAACCAGACAGATAGCTCTGACGCTCTGGATGGCAAAACTCCTCCCTCTCGTATTTCGCACGGATCCATTGTTCGATTAGTACTCTGAAATTTAGAGACGATAACATTGATTGCTTATTAGTTATATTATTATCACCGCATAGCGTAGTAGTGATGCATGAAAATCTACTACTATTTATGGATGTCGTAAGAAGTGGCAGAGGGAGTGAAACAGAAGTGGCAGAGGGAGTGAAACAGAAGCAGCAGCATGATCCTGATAACAATTGAATATGAGGCAACTTATTGAGAGGCCTATGTTCAGCAGTGGACTTTTGTTAAGTTATAATGAATGCATTAAAAAAATTACAAACCTGTAGAAACTATATTAACTTTTAATTAATGGTAAAGGCGGTTTCAAAGAACAAAATAGAATAAAATAATTTCACATTCTGGAGTCGGTGTTAATATAAAGTGTAATAAAATATAAAATGAATGTTAGATTATTTATTCTTTTTCATCCTTTGATTTTATTTTTTATTGTAATTTTTTTGCTCTTTAGAGTGAACTAAGAAAATCAAAAATTCTCTATAGTCTTCAGTCGTCTATACTCTATACCAATTACATTAAAAATTTCATCCCCTATTTTATCACCTTAACCCTTGTTATTTAATAAAAAAAAAGAATCATAATAACCGGTTCCCAATTGACGAAAAACCATACAATCGAATTTTAAGCCGCCTTCTTTTTTTGAACTCGAGCAAAAATGGGGGTGCGTCATAAACACACGCTCGTGTTTGAAAAACGAACTTAAAGCCCACTTACCATCGGTAAGTGGCTACTGCAGCCCATGGGCAACTGTAGCCAACTTTGAACAAAAAATTTTACAGATGTGTTGTCACCGCTGAAACAGTAAGGAATGCCTCACAGCCTTGAATTATACTGGTTCTCTATAACGTTCAGACCGGACCACAGCATTGTAGCAATGCTATTTGGCGGCAAAAGTATGTATGTGTAATAAGGCGCTACCTACTCCGACAGACTCTTAGAAAAAAAAAGAAGTCCTACATAACCTAGTAACAGAAGAAAAGAGAGAAAATAAAACTTATAAAAAATAAATTTATAAATTTATTTATTTGGATATGTTTCGTATTGTATTTTGACTATTCAAATTTTTTCCCCATTTTCAGTATTTGTTTGAAAAGTAATATTAATTATTTTATTTTCTTTAATTATTAAAAACAAGAAACAGATGTTGTTAAATAGCCATCCGGCTAATCGACGCGCTAATTTGAGCACAGTCATTAATTCTATTTTTAAATATGTGTCGGTATTCAGGATTTCCGGACACATTTAACGTTCCACTATTATACTCTTTGATGGAGTTTTTAGATACAGCAATTAGTTTGATACCAAGAACAGTTTAGGAATGATAATTGCTAAGTAGCCCAAAGTTTAATTAAAAATATAAATTAAATTGGCCGAGAAGAAGCTACGTGCTAAAGAAATTACGTAAAAAAGGAAAAGAAGAAAAATGCTAATTTGAGCATAGTCATTAATTCTATTTTTAAACATGTGTTGGAATTCGAGATTTCCGGACACATTTAACGTTCCGCTATTATGCTTTTTGATGATTTTTTTAGATAAAAAAAATTGTTTGATACTACGAACAATTGAGGAATGATAATTGCCAAGTGGCCTAAAGTTTAACTAAAAATATAAAATTAAGCTGGCCGAGAAGAAGCTGCATGCTAAAGAAAGTAAAGGGAGCAAGATAAAAGAAAAAAAAAGAAAACGACTGACGCCATCGGTCACGTGCATAATATTTTCAAATATCGTTTTTAAATAAAACAAATTTAAAACTAAAACATAAAGCAAAAACATTTAAGTAGTAGTAGTAATATATTTAAATCTCTTTGTACGTAGCCAACCTGTCGATGTCCGCTGCATTACAAAAGCATCATGAAGAAACGTTATCATGTCCAAGAAAGGAAATATATTACGAAAACATATTTAATCTATCAGTTCGGCGGAGACTCAAAAATTCACTATGTCCAGTAGTGAGACTTTTTTTAAAAACGTAACCTTCACACTAGAATTTTTTTTCTGTATCGTGGGGGCAGTTTACAAACATAAATTGCACAAGGAAAACCATGAGATGAATGAGTTATGCTTTAATTTTTTTTTGTTGCAGTATGATCAAGAGTGAGCCAACTTTTTTCAAAGGGAGTGAATCAGATTTACAACAAGAGTGATTGATGTATTGTGATAGTGTAATAATATAATGTATACTGGATACTGCTGACATATTTTTTTATAATGATCTTACAATTACGCGAACACTACACATTAAATAAAACTACTTTTACGGATTTCATCGCGTTTAATTCTAATTATTTTTATGTTATTTATACACATATATATATATATATATATATATATATATATATATATATATATATATATATATATATCCTGTAATTAATAAAAATAAAACTAAACCCAAGCATACCATTGCAAGACTTAAAGGCAAAATAAGTTCAGTTTGCGTAAATCGGAGCAAAAGTAATAATTAAAAAGCTAAAGGTACTTCGGGTTAACTCTGACATCGCAACGTCAATCACCTCATTCCCTCGTGACCATGGGTGCTGCAAAGCACCCGAAATGTCGGGAATTAAAAATAAGTCGAATTAAACGCGATGGAATCTGTAAAAGTAGTTTTATTGAATTGTTTTTTTTATTTTAGTTATATGTACGATATCGGCAGCGTGGAATGTATGCGAGACATAAAAAGCGAGGTCGCAAAAGAGTAACACCGAGAGACGACATATTTATTGCAAACGTTTTTCTAACCGTATTACGTCTTCTTGTGAGGTCAGAACTAAGCTCCAGAAAATTCTACAACTGTTAATTAATATCAAAACTATAGGAATTGGAACATACTTGGACAGGACTTGGTCGAATAGCTCGATTTAATATTACTCACTTAGGTTAAAGCTGGGATGATGAGATGGAATGTACTGTTTACCGTGGAGTCCCGGTTTTGTTCTTTATTAAAATATTAAGAGTCAAAGTACTCAGACAACCTGAAGAATTGTACGCTCAATTTAACGACGTTGGAGAGGTAGACCCTCTCCAACGTCGGGAGGGGTTCGGTATAACACTGTTAAACTGGTTTGCATAGAGAAAAAAACAGATGGAGCTACACATTAGGAAAAGTTTTGACCGTGGCACAGTATGTAACATACATAAAAACTGTAGTTTTCAGATATAAAAATAAAAAATAAAATTAGGAAGGCTTTTACATAAAAGAGCCACACCGCAGCTAAATTATGCCTGCAGTACGAATCTAATTGGGAAAGATCACTCATACAGAATACTCTTGTGTTTTGTTAATAAAATAGAATAGAATAAAATAATGTATGAACATACGTGGTAGAGCCACATATATATTATGGTTGTAGTACAAATGGATTGGATAGACCGGGGAAGGACCATATCTCATATAATACCATCGTAAAATAGTAGCTTAATTCTGCTGCGTTCCGTATGATAAGTGACGATAACCGGAGACTTTTTTCACTGGTAACGAGGCATTTCATCTCAATCCTCAGGAGTGACAACGCATATGCATAGTGATTCTGTCATTCCTAGCTGGTTATGTTGCTTCCCACCACTAGTTTACGAAATTTGGGTTTGATATTTTCAATGCATGTTTCTCCATTAGTGCTTTTCCAAATCATCGTCTTTCAGCCAGAAGATTGCACCGAGTGCAGTACATGGTGACATTTGGGGTAAAAGATGGTATATTCTTATTCTTCACCCCTCTTAAATAACAATAGGATAATGACAACATATATTTAACATAAAAGTTCCGATTGATGTTTCTCTAGGCAAGAGTGGCCGTTAGCAGCTAATGTATTTTTTTTAAATAGGTACTAGTCTAGAAAATACATTATCTAAAAACACGTACACTGATGTTAAAAATAAGTTTGCTTGCTAGAGAATAGAATATAAACGTCGTAAAATTGTCTCAAAAAATTGATGTACATACTCGTATGAAAGGATATAACATGAAAAATGATTATTTAAATGCAAAATCGTTTTGTGTATTGAAAAGTAAAAAAAAGTGAAACAGTAGAGAAGTTTTTACATAAATGTAGAGATGTTCCTTGAGAGACAAATTTCATTAAAATAAAGAGTAATGTTACACACAACTGAAAGACCAGACAAAAACGAGTTCTTTTATTATAGAAGAAGGGTGACAAAATGAGTACATAGTTTACCTGATAGTAGTGGATGCTGTGGCCCATAGACATCTATTTCACGTTAAGAATCAAAATGCAAATGCGTTTTCAACCTGTGGACTAAGATGGAAAGCCTCGTTTCCAATAAAATGCGTCACCAGATCATTACACTCACCACAAATTTAGCTGCAACTTACACAGCAGCATATAGCTGCTATATAAGCTGCAGCTATGTATCGTGGCTCTACCACGATGTAAATTATAGACATCCCTCTTACTCTTATCGTATTCAGCAAATATGTAGCGAACTATAAATATAAATGTATTTATGTAAGAATATAAGATCTAAGGAGGCTTAACGTCATACCTTAGAATATCATTAGAAGTCAGTGTCGTTCGAATGTTTATATTCTAAACAATTCCTGAACATAATTCTAAAATCTGCCGTAAGAGTTAACTCATAAATATAAAAGCTTTTACAAAAATTTACTTCGCAAATATCCGCGTTATAAATGGATTTCCGCAAAGTAACGCCTGATTCTATTAATTATATTAACTCATAAAGCTTAAAAGGCATCATGATCTTTGACATATAGTGAAATTAATATCTTGCATAAGAAAGATATACTTTTTTGCGGCTTAAAATTGCAAAATATATAGTATTTTGATTACTATTCCACCTGCCAAACGTAAAAAATGCTGTCTATAGAAGAAGAACACATTAAGCATTGAAATGTTAACTGGTTTATGGAAGGTATTTTTAAAACAAGTAGTTTTTTTTTAAATTCTGTACGAAAAAAATTCAATATACCATGTTTTTCCTACATTGTCATCCGATTCTGCTGTTCAAAATTTCAAGTCTCTAGCTCATCGGGAAGTGCACGAGAGAGAGAGAGAGAGAGAGAGAGAGAGAAAGAGAGAGAGAGAGAGAGAGAGAGAGAAAGAGAGAGAGAGAGAGAGAGAGTTGCAAGATTCCAACCGGAACGATAGACAGACAGACAACTAAGAAAGTGACTTAATAAAAACGTGGTGAAATAAACTTTTGCCACGTGGCCATCTTACTGTGGATCGTTTTTGGTAGGTCTTCTGTAACACGGAGGTACACGCTCTTCGTATTTGTTCTTTGCTGCTACATTTCCGACCTCCTTCATACGTTGGACCTGAGAATCCTCCCAGCGATCCAGCTCCAGATGTTTCACTTTGCTGATATGCGCTCCCATACTGCGATGGATGCTGGCACACCGCATACAGATAAATATGCCCAAGTTGTAGGAGGCCCAGTCTGGGTCTGGAATAAAAATTTAATAAAATTAAAATTAAATAAATATTTCAAGCAACAATAGGTAGAGCCGGATTACCTAAACTGAAAAGTAAGTAGTTCGTAGCGTAACAAAAATATTTTTTAGGTTCTTTAAGAAGTTGGTATTTTTGGATTGCACAAACAGTGATTTCTTCTCTTTAAATCACATATTTTTAGAGTGAGCTTGAGAAGTAAAGCCACAGTATTCAATTACCATAAGGTTGGACTATGTGCTCGTTTGTCACAACTATCATATAAATCAAAATCTTATTTAAACCGGGAACTGAGTCGAAGAATGTCTAGGAAGATGGGCATATTGTAAACTAAGTCAAATCAAATCCCTGTTTATTTTAATGTTATTCATCCAGTTCTTTTTGACTTGATAACGAAAATACATTCAAGAAAAATAATAAAAGGTTAAAAAATAAAAAATCCATGGCCTAGATTTTTATAAATAAGCATTTTCGATTCTCGGCTAAGGTATGACATTTTTGTATATTTAGGATGATGACTTTATGAACGAATCTTTAGTTTCTGAATATCTTTTATTTGCACTAGAACAAGATTACGTAACGAGTTTTAGTAATAGATGGACGTCCCGTGGACGAAGTTCGATCGTAATTCATTAATTTTTAAGTTTGTGTATTAAGCATGCTGTATTTCACTTTCTTTTCTTATACAGAATAAGGGTGACAAACAAGCACACAGTCCACCTGATGGTAAGTGGATGCTGTGGTCCATAGACATCTACATTTATCCTCAATTAAGAATCAAACACCTGAGGACTGAGATGGAATGCCTCGTTTCCAGTAAAAAGGGTCTCCGGTTCTCTACACTTACCATACGAAACAGTAGAGTTGAGTTGCTATTTTACTCGGGTATTTTGTGATAGCGTAGGCATTCCCCGGTCGAGCCGACCCATTCGCGCAACAACCATAATATGCTGCAGTAGCATGGTTCTACAACGTAAAAACTTTGAATTCTATATAAAAATGCTTTCAACTGCACATTTTATATAAAATTCAGATATCTTATATACAACATGTAAAATAAATGCTTTTTTGCCTTGACACTCCAATACTCAAAAGTCTGTCTATTAAAAAAAGAACATTTGAAATCACACAATATTTAATGCTCATTCAGTAAATCTGTCAGTAATTATTTTTTTTCTTATTTAATCTACTTTTTTTTATTCTACTTTGTGCAACTGTTTGACCACAGACTATTACAATATGTTTAATATTGGCAGTTATGAATGCAAATATGTTTTATTATATTTTATTTAATGGATGTAGTTATATAAATTTAAGCGTTTTACACTTTCGTATATAAACGTTAATTATGTTAAATCTCATACTCCTCTGTGGGAGCAATGAGCACATAAAAGGTTACAAAGTTTCCTTTTCACGTATTATTAGTTTCTTGATTAAAACAATGATTTAATAACTACGTACGATTTAACGCGGGAATATTTTTGCACTTATGATAAGTTGATAAGACAGTTATACACTACGTAAAATATAGAAGCGGCACGATTATAAACTTTTCAACTTATAAATTAATTTATGTTAGAAATTGTTCTAATAGTTTTCTTAAGACATTTCTATGGGTCGGCTCGACCGGGGAAAGACTACGCTCTCACAGAATACCAGCGTAAAATAGCAGCTTAACTCTGCTGTGTTTCGTATGGTGAGTGTAGAGAACCGGAGACCCTTTTTACTGGAAACGAGGCATTCCATCTTAGTCCTCACGGGTGACAACGCATCTACATTTTGGTTCGTAATCGAAGATAGATGTAGATGTCTATGGGCCGCAGCAATCACTTACCATCAGGTGGACTGTGTGCTCGTTTGTCACCCTTATCCTATAAAAAAAAATTATTTATTTTTAACTAGCGACTCACCCTGGCTTCACCTGGGTGGTATTTAAGTCATAATTTAGATCTTTATTTCATCAATTTTTCGATTTAATAAAAAAAATCTTCAAGATTTTTGGATTATATATAGCCTAGATCACTAATGGAGGGTATCTATGTGTTCGTGAAGTTTAATCTCAATCGGTTCGACCATTCCGATTCCCAACAGACAGGCAAATAGTCGGACAGACAGGAAAATTATTAATTTTAATGGCTTGCATACAACTCTCTGTGCTGAGCAAAAGCCTTTTATTTCTATATTACAGACAGACACTTCAATTTTGTATAGATAAAACATGTTTGTTGTTTCTCGTGGGCAAGCAAAAGGAAATTATGTATTGATAAGTTTATAGTTTACTAGCTGACCAGACGTTGTTCTGCCCTTTCCGAACGACCATATACTTTCCTAAAAAACTCCTGAAATTAACAAAAAGAAAATTGAGGGTCACTTATCGGGATAAAAACTATCCTATCTCTCAAGTTTCATTGAAATCAGTTCAATAGTTTAGGAGTTCATCGCGGACAAACAATGTGACACGTAATCTATACATCTATACAAATAAATAAAATTTAAGTGTCTGTTTGTAATGTCAAAATTACAGTTGTTACAGTACTAATGCATATGAAGAAAATACGGTACTTATAACTAAAATACAATTTTTAAAATTTTTGTCTGTCTATCTGGTTGTTCCGGCTAATCTCCGAAACGGCTGGACCGATTTTGACGGGACATTCACTGGCAGATAGCTGAATCCATAAGGAGTAACTTAGGGTACTTTTATTTTAGAAAATAATTAGGGTCCCGCGCAAAAACATAAAAACCCTAATACGCGAGCGAAGTCGCGGGGAACAGCTAGTTTTTATATATAAAGTTGGTATGAAGATTGACGACTGAGATGGGATGTCTCATTACGAGTAACTTTTACTAACTCTGGAACAACTATTCTCGAATTAAGAATTAAAATGCAGAGCTGACAATGACTCTTGTCATTGTCAGCTCTGCATTTGTAATGAGGCGTCTTCTTACTAACCATATATGAAATATAGTAGCATTATGTTGCTATACATCATCTACCTTATACTCAGCATCACCAAACGGTATTCATTGAAGGTCATACAGGTTTAAGCACCAACCTCAGCACATCACGATGAGGAGGTGGAGGAAATGTATGAGGATATCTCTGAAGCCATGCATTCCTCCAAAACCCACTATACGGTGTTAATGGGAGATTTAAGGGGAAGTAGGGAAATTTGGAATAGGGCAACGGAACCCAAGGGGCCAGCAGCTGGGTGACTTCATGGAGAAATGGGGACTCTTTATGATGAACGCTTCCTTCCAGAAGCGGCCCCACAGGAAGTGGACCTGTTCGAGCCCCGACGGTTCAACAAAAAATGAAATTGACTTTATTATGACGACCAGACGACAACTGTTCAGGGATGTCTCAGTGATCGCCAGGGTGAAAACCGGCAGCGACCACCGAATGGTAAGAGGCACACTGAACCTAAACGTTCAGTTGGAGAGGTGTCGTCTAATGAAGTCAACGCTCTGTCCGCCTCGCGCTCTAATCCAAAGTCCTGAAACCTTTCAGCTCGAGTTACAAAACTGTTTTCAGTGCCTACAAGATTGCAATGCAGTGGACGATATGAATGACAAGCTCGTGGAAACTGTTCATGCGGTCGGAACTAAATTTTGTAAGACTCTCCTCAGAAGGACACAAAACCCCTCCGATCAGACTCTTAATCTCATCGCTGTTAGACGGGAAAAGAAGCTGCAGTCTTCAGTAGATTTGATAACACACAGGCAACTGAACAGACAGATCTCCAAATGCTTGCGGCGGGACTTACGCAACTTTAATACAGCTCGTATTGAAGAAGCGATCGAGCGGAACCAGGGCTCCAAAGTCTTCGCCAGAGCTCTGTCTGCCAGAAAAAGCCAACTGTCAAAGTTGAAGACTGAGTGTGGCAGCATCGTTTCCGGGACACCAGAGATTTTGAGTGAGATTGAGAGGTTCTATGGGTAGCTGTACAGCCTCCCGAACAAGCCAGTTTCCGAAATGGCTTTAGCACTATAGACCACATACATACCCTTCGCCATATTGTACAGAAGTCCGAGGAGTATAATTTGCCACTATGTATGGCGTATGTGGACTATGAGAAATTGAGCCTTTGATTCCGTCGAAATTTAGACGGTGCTGCAGTCCTTTCAGCGGTACCAGTTGACTGTCGGTATATCGAAGTGCTGAAGTGTTTGTACAGTAGGGCTACGATGGATATCCGAGTACAGAACCAGAGTACGAAACCTATACAACTGCAGAGAGGTGTAAGACAGGGTGACGTTATATCCCCGAAACTGTTCCGTAAAACCGGAAAGACGTTTTCAAGCTACTGGACTGGAAAGGCTACGGTATTAACGTCAATGGCGAGTACATCACTCACCTTCGATTTGCCGACGATATAATCCTTATGGCAGATTCGCTGAAGGACCAAAGCACTACGCTCAATGACCTCATTAGTGTCTCACGGTGTTTAGGTCTTAAGATGAACATGGACAAAACAAAAGTCATGTTTAACATCCATTTCACTCCTATGCCGGTAGTTGTAAAGTTTGAAGTTGTTGACGAGTATGTTTACCTGGGACAAATAGTAGGAAGTGTAGGGCGATCACCCACTAGATGGAGTGATGAACTGGTAAGACAAGCAGGAAGTCGATGGATGCAGGTGGCTCAAGACCGTGCTTTGTGGCATTCCTTGGGGAGGCCTATGTTCAGCAGTGGTACTTGTGAAGGGCTGTAATGATGATGATGATTCACAATATCAGCCCAAAATAATTTCTTATATGCATTTTAAATTAAAGTTAAAGTTACAGCCTTATTGCTGGGCACAAGCCTCCTCTCATTTCTGAGATGGTTTTAGGGCAAGGAAATGTCCGCCGCGCTGCCCTAATGCGTGTTGGCGAACTTCACATGTCATTATATATTTTTTATTTCTCAGGATTGATGGTTTTTTACGATGTTTTCCTTCACCGCCGAGCTTATGGTAAATCAGCACTTAATTTCATCGGTGCCGGCAGGGA